GGCGGTCCTACTCGCCGCAGGCCGGCCAGGAGGCGTTCAACGTTGGCTCCCGCCAAGCTGATGGATGATGTTCGTTCGGTTATTATTAATTGTGGTTACGATTTCACCCGGGCCCTCGGCTCTGCCATGCGGGGGGCTGGCTGGGTGATCTGTGGCCGTTGCAAAGGGGGTAGCCGAGTTAGGCTGTCGCAGCAAGAGAAAGAAAAGACAGTCCAGTGGCGCCTTAAAGACTGACGACGTTTATTTCGTCGTAAGGTTGATGGGAGTCCCGACCAGTGTTCCCTCTAGGCTGAGTTAGTGTGAGTTAGCTCACAGTTTTTTAGCCTCCAGCTCACACATTTCTGTCTTAGCTCAGGAAGGACGGCCCCAGAGCAAACTAATGTATGCAGTAGCCAAATCACTTGCCCACAACTTTAATGCCAGTAGCTCACAAAATATAATTTTTGCTCACAAGACTCCACCGCTTAGAGGGAACATTGGTCCCGACTCCATGCGGCTTAATGTGGCTGCCGTGAAGATAGATCTCCAGGTGGGGTCGCCTGTTGGTCTGAAGCAGCAGAACAAAGTTTGAGTCCAGGGGCACGTTTAGGACCAACCAAGTTGAATTCTGGGTCTAAGCTTTCGTGTATTGCTCTTAAAGGTCATCTCATCTGATGAAGTGTGCATGCACACGAAAGCTTAGACCCAGCATAAAACTTGGTTGGTCTTAATGGTGCCCCTGGACTCAAGCGACTCCCCCCCTCCAGTATGAGCTTTCCAGCGTCGCAACCCACTTCGTCAGATGGATAGATATGACGTCGTAAGATACCTTGGGCTAGTCTGCCTCTCTCTGCTCTCCCTGACCTACCTCGTAGCAGGCCCGTAGCTAACATGGGGCCCACGGGGCCTGGCCCCCTTGTGTTTCTTCTGGGCCCCCTCCCTCCAGGGCTGCCCCCAAAGTGCTCCAACTTACCACCTGCACTGTACTTCCATTTAATTAGCTGGTGGGCCCCCCCAAGGCCCCCTCCCAAGGAATTCCCTAGCTACGGGGCTGCCTCGTAGGGACATTATTCTGAGGGTAGAACGGAGGATGGCAGATCAGAAAAGGGCAACTCGAATGATAAAAGGGTTGGAACACTTTCCCTATGAAGAAAGGTTAAGGCGCTTAGGGCTCTTTAGCTTGGAGAAACGACGGCTGAGGGGTGACATGATCGAGGTTTATAAGATTATGCATGGGAAAAAGCAGGTAGAGAAAGAGGTACTTTTCTCCTTTTCTCACAATACAAGAACTCGTGGGCACTCCATGAAATTGCTGAGCAGTCGGGATAGAACAGATAAAAGGAAGTACTTCTTCACCCAAAGAGTGATTAACACTTGGAATTCACTGCCACAGGAACTGGTGGCGCTACAAGCATGGACGGCTTCAAAAGGGAATTAGATAAGCATATGGAGCAGGGTCCATCAGTGGCTATTAGCCTATAGATAGGGACTCTGGGGCAAGTGATGCTCTGTCATCTTGGTGCTTGGGGGGTCAACAGTGGGAGGGCTTCTGGTATTTCTGCCCACTGTGTGATACAGAGTGTTGGACTAGATGGGCCTTTGGCCTGATCCAACATTGGCATTTCTTATGTTCAGTGTTGTAAGCCGCCTTGCGTTGCGGTTGTGGAGAAAAGAGGGATGTAAAGCCCTGAATAAATAAGAATGCCCGCCCTTCTGCAAACCACCCTTCTAGGAGAGAGGCAGTCTAATCGTAGTTTGGGGTTTATCCCCACCTCGTGTTTCCAATGTGGACTTTAAACGCTGGAATAAAATTGCAATATGGAGATATTCATTCGTGACACTTAAACACCCCCCTGAGGTTCCTCTGTGCGGTATGCGTGCACTTATGAATGTTCAGGCAGGTAGTCGGAAGAAGAGATCCCCACTTAAAAAGCCAGCATTGGTTTGTATAGAAGAAGATCCGACCTCGGGACAAAAGGCGTATTTGATTAGCGGCCTGGTCTGTTTTTGCTTTCCACACGCGGCCACAAATAGCGGGAGGGGGGTCCGAAGAGTTTGAGCGCTCCGATCCTGTGCATGTTTACTTGGAAGTAAGGGCTCCTCTTTTTGTAGCAGGAACTCCTTTGCATATTAGGCGACACACCCCTAACTAGCCAATCCTCCGAAAGCTTACATTAGCCCCTTTAAGAAGTGCTCTGTAAGCTCTTGGAGGATTGGCTACATTAGGGGTATGTCGCCTAATATCCAATACCCAGTCAGCTTTTGCTCACAGGGAAAAGCGCCTTGGCTTGCAACTCCAGTCGATGCGTGTCCCACATTGTGCCATTTACAAATCCGGGACCCCAGCTTCTCTTTAAGGTTGCACGGGATGCGTCAGAAGGAATTAAGCAAACGAAAGCGAACCTGCCTTTCTGAGAACACTTTGCTGGGCGAGAGTCAGCCCCGCTGAGTTGACCTGACCGGAATTGCTTATCTAACGGGAAGCTCTGCGCCTTTAAAAGGCTGCCTCTCGCCCGGCACGGCCTTCGCTTGCTTGCGTGGGGCGCTCGGATTGGACCCAGGAAGCAAAACGTTTGCAGCGGCCGGCAGGCAGGAAGCGAGCGAGTCGGCTCCGGCAGCATCGCTGGGTTTTGCACACTTCCTCCGGCTCCTGCGGGGTATCCGAGGGGCTCAGCCTGCTTTCGGCTTCGGTAGCTGGAAGGCCAGGCCGAGCTCTCCTCCGCAGACAGACAAGCGCGGCCGACGCACGACTGATTCCCACGAGGACGCCGTCGCCTATATGTCCGGTAGCAGCTTCTTTATTAAATGCATATCAGAGCACCCTGAATCAAATCCCAGGACGTCCTCTTCTAGCCTGTCTCAAGAATCCCTTTTCGCGTGTTTGACAGATGCAGGCAGTCATACAGCCTCATGCGTCATATTAAATGCATATCAGAGCACCCTGAATCAAATCCCAGGACGTCCTCTTCTAGCCTGTCTCAAGAATCCCTTTTCGCGTGTTTGACAGATGCAGCCAGTCATACAGCCTAATGCGTCATATTTATTGATGCTCTATATTTAGTATTCTTTTGGGCCCATGATGCATTTTAATTGACTCCCACGGTTTACTGTACTGTAGTAATATTTACCCTAGTCATACAGCCTAATGCGTCATATTTATTGATGCCCTATATTTAGTATTCTTTTTGGCCCATGATGCATTTTAATTGACTCCCATGGTTTACTGTACTGTAGTAATATTTACCCTTGGTTCTTGATTCGCTCACAATCTGCAAAACAACAACAACCCATACACATATGTTTTGTAAAACATCAACTAGGAATTCTCCCGCCCCACTTTCTGGTCCCCCTGTGTATCTAAAAATACCCTGGCTGACTTCTTTGAAAATGGCATATTATATTTGCAAGAGTAAGACCGCTTTTGGCAATAACTGCAAAATGACTGCTATCTATCTAAAGTGTGCGTATGTTTCTAACACAGAAGTAACATCTATAGCCAGTAGGCTATAGCCAGAGAGTCCAAAGCAGCCATTTTCTACAGGGGAGCCCATCTTTTTCATCTGGAGATCAGATGTGATTCCAGAAGATCTCCAGACCTCACCTGGAAGGTGGCAACCCTAGTTCCTTTGTCAGGAGCCCCGTCAATTTAATCAATGAGACGCTGCTTTGAACTGGTGGTTTAGAAATGCCTGTGACCTTCCATAGGCCTGAACCACTTCCGAATGCATAATGGAGAATCTCTTGTTGAAAAGCCCCCCCCCCCCTGAAAATCTCTCTGCATGTTGAATATTTACAAACCAGCACTGAGGATATAATGCTGTAAGAAGATTACACCACGTCCCTCTCTTTCCTGTTTGAATCTTATTTAGCAACATGGGATCTGCTTGGGTTAGCGGCCTTGATATAGTTGTTTCTCAGTATGGTTACAGACTGTACAGAGGACTGTTGTTCCTCTTGATGTTGACAGCATTGTGCATAGTGTGGCTTCTGCCACATCCTGCCTGGTCCTCAACTCCTGTCTAACCACATCCAGCTTCTGTAGGGCTTTGTGATGTGCAGCTGGGTGGGAGCATCTGTTCTATGTAGGGTTGCTGACAGCCTGGAGAAAAAAAATGTCTTGCCCTTTAAATAGAGGGTCAATGGAATGTTATTTACTGGGTGATGTTCCATGCCATAAAAGAGTTTTGAGTGTCCATTTCCACACATTAAACCTCTGTTAAAGGGGCAGGATATATTCCCCTTCCGGCTGTGTCTTGCAGCATTGTGGTGGTACGACAGTACTTAAATGTGATTCAACTTGCTATTTTGGCTTTGCGCAGTGGACCATAACTCCCAAGACTCTGAGTGGAAAAATCTCTCAAAGTGACTTCGGTAACAAATATATAATACTTAATTTGTCCTTGCAATGCAAAATATAAAGTGAATGGTGCACAGCAGGGGAGTTCAATGAAATTTAAACTTATTTGCTAACTCAAATTAATGACTGTCACAGCTCAGATGTACAATAATTTAAGTAGCTTTGTCTTTATTTATTTTTTAGATAAACACCTGGCAAATGGAGGAGAGAAAAAAACATTTGTAAGTAAGAAATCTGTCTACATTAGTAATTGCAAAGTTTATGGGATAATGAAGTTGTTATTAGGTGTAAAAGGAGTCTTTGTATGAGGCAATTAGGATCCTCCTGTGATCTTGAATGCTTCAGAGATGTGGTCACAGAATTTTTACTGTAAAATATTTATCAAATATAATTTCAAGAAAGGGAGGGGAGGAAGAGCAATTAAATGCCTCATTTTAAACAAAATAACTCATTTTATGTATTATGTACCCTTTTTATAATTTACCAAACTCGTTGTTTTAGAAAAATTGGATGATGCTTGCTAATATTTCAGAATTACTACCTCATAAACTTCCTACTATTAAGTTAGTCAAATTATCTAATGTACTAATACCTAGAACAAATCTATTCTTAATAAACCAAAGAAACTGTAATCATTACCGGCTTTAAGCGAGACAAAAGGAACTGTATGTTTATTTCTTAGTGGTCTCTGTGCAACTTACATATCCAAAGTCTGGTTATAAGTGAAAGTTTCACATTGAAATATGTAAGAGAGGATCAATAGCTGCGTCACATCCACACTTTTCTTATCCGCACAGCTGTTCAAAAAGGTTAACGAAAAATGCAAAAGTCACTGATCTTGAAAACTGGAAATGTTAAAATTAATCAAGAATCCAGCACCAGCACCTATTCACCAATCCTCCTTTTGCCATTTTGTATCCTCCAAATCCATCATTCCCTTTCCTCAGGATAACACTGCATCTCTCTCTCTTTCCAAACATTCTGGCACAGAAGTGGGAATTACTGATCAAGACCTTTGTCACTCTGTGGCTTCTAAGAAAACCCCAAACTCTCAAATTTTACACACTTAGAGATTCCCCAGGAGTGGTAAACCTTTGGTACTGTTGTTCACATACGGAATGGGGATTACATCTATCACTTTCTCCCTGCAGAGTTTGTCAACTGTCATTTTTAGCCTGATTTACCAACTCTTCATTTCGTTCTGAAACCTTGGTATTGTTTCTTCCGCCAGATCTGCATCGAAGGGAACATTGCAAGTGGGAAAACAACATGCCTGGATTATTTTGCCAAAAACTCTAATATTGAGGTGATTGGATTTGAAACTTCTCTGTATGCCATCAAATTTTTACACACCTTTTCTTTGGGGCCTTGATCCTGGGCCTTGTTTTCACTGAGGAGGTAAACCTATGAAGTTTCACAGCTCAGACATGGCCTTAACACCTCAGTAAAAACTCATCCTCAGTCTGGCTTCTATTTTAACTACGCTGGACCTGGAGCTCCCATGATTTCGATTTGGGGTTTTTTTTTGTAATTCATTTGCCCTCTTTCCACAGTTATAGTGTGAACCTGGAAACTGCTGAGGGGGTATGGAACATGGAGGGCGGCTAGCTTAGCAGTTCCTTCCTAATCCTATCTCTTTCCTCTGTTTTAGGGAAAAGGTCCAACGGGCCCTATTCTAAGCCAGTACTTGGCTAGTGGCCCAGTGTATAGAGTCTTATGCACAGTGCAGTGGAATTCAGGATATATAAGAATTCTCTGCGTCTGTGAGATGAGGAGATGGCTGCCGACAGGCTGCAGTTAGGACTGCTAGCTCTGTGTTGGGAAATACCTGGAGATTCTGGAGGTGACGCCCGAGGAGGGTGGGGTTTGGGGAGGGGCTTTAGTGGGGTAGAATGTCATAGAGTCCACTTTCCACAGCAGCCTTCTTTCCCACTGATCACTGTTGCCTGGAGATCAGTTGTAGTAGCGGGAGATCTCCAGCCACTGCTTGGAGGTTGGCAACCCGAGCTGTGGTGGGGCCCTGGAAGCACAACATGTTTACAAGGGTTCCCAAGTTGGAAATGTTTAAGGCATGCTGAGCGAGGTATGGTGTAATTTGCATTGTGATCTTAAGTAGGTGCTCTTGCCCGAGAATGTCAGAAGTGCTTGCTGGATCAGATACACCTAGACCAGCATTCTGTGCAAGAACCCCAGGAACCACTGAGGCAAGTTGGCCGGTAGTCCACCAATGGCTCACAGCCTGTCCCTTGTCAGCGCAACCAGTGCTGTGTTCTTAATTCAGTTTGCATGTTGTCTCTCCAGGGGTATGGTTGAATTTCTTGAATGGCTTTATCTAGACCAGAGAAATTAGGCTGTTAGACTTGCTGAAAACCTATCTATGGCTGCGGTCACACGGAGCATTAGCCACGCTACAGAGACGGAAGATAGGCGGATTTTCCGGGCGCGATCACAGTGCCACATCTGGGAAGCGTAGAGCTCCCGTGGCTTACCCAAGGCTTCACTCCGAAGATGCGCGGTAAAAAACTAGTACCTCGGAGGTACTAGTTTCCGGAAACCGCAGGGCAAGGGCGGGCGCGTGATTGCATTTCTGGTGGAATCCCATGGCATCCGGCGCCCGCCCATGTCCCCTTGCAAAAAGTTTTTTTTTTTCCCCAAGTGTCCTCGGGATGTGCACAAGCACCCAACGGGGCATGCGCACACGTCGGTGTACAGGAAAAAAACCAATCTGTTTGCCGCGGCGCACCGCTTCTTTGCAACGCCGCAGGATTGTGGTGTGATCAGCACCTGCCCCTTACCACGGGACCTCTATGGGATGTCTGCTTGCGCAACCGCGCATTATTTTGCCCCGGGGCAAACAGCCACGCTTCCCCCCCGCATTTTCCTGCCCGTGTGACCGCAGCCTGTGTGTGTGTGTGTGTGGGGGGGTGGGTGCAGATGCATTGAACTACTTTTTCTTTTTGATCTCAGGTGTTGACTGAACCAGTGTCTAAATGGAGGAATGTTTGTGGTCACAGCCTTTTGGTGAGTCACAAGGACAAATCCCTCACTGTCATGTACAGCTGTGCCTTTTTTCCCTAATGTGGGTTGTGATGATTTAAAACACACAAAACCCACCCACCCCCGCTGCCTGAACTCTTGTTACTTTGGTCACTGTGTTAGAAAAAAACTTTCATTACATACACTTCCACATCCTGTCGTAACGCGTTGCGCTAGCTAATCAGAATGGTCATGATAACGTCGTTTCTCTTGACTCTAGGGCTTAATGTACCAAGATGCATCACGTTGGGGCATAACGTTACAGACTTATGTGCAGCTTACCATGTTGGACCAGCACACAAGGCCAATGGTATGTCGGAAGGTTTTTTTGCTGATAATACTGAAGGTCACATCCCAAATGACAGCGAAACCTAGGTTCATATAATTGCCTCTGCTCACATTCAACCTGTATTACTGTTGACACCCGTGGGTTGAAAATCTTATTGTAAGTTCCATGGGAGTAGCACCTGTCCCCTTACTAGCCTGACTTTGTCAGTGCTTGGGAGTTAAGCCATGTTGGCTACGGTTAGTACTTGGATGGGAGATCGCCAAGGAAGACTGGGGTTGCAGTGAAGAAGGCGGCAATGGCAAACCACCTCTGCTCATGTCTTGTCTTGGAAACACCATGGTCCTGGGGTTGCCATGAGTCAATTGTGACTTCACACCGCATTATTGTTGTTGTTGTTGTTAATTTTCTTTGCAAAATACCATGTGCCGTGATGGGGGGTATATAAAGTAGTTGTAAGCTGTTTGCACGTGGAAAAGAAGCCGGTGGTTGTTTTTTTAAATTGCTGCATTAGCCTCGTAGTTCGCATTGCCAAGAGACCTTTTCCCTCTTATTTCATTCAGGCCCAGTGTCGAGCCATTCAGGGTCTCAATACATTTTAACATTTCCCTCATGTCTTTCCTTCCCCTTCTGTTTGACTAACCGTGTACTGTTAGTTCTGTGCTGGGAACTTAAAACTGAGCACGCACAGGTCTGATTTAAATCAAGATTGTGATGCACGAGGAGAGAGGGGCTTAATTCCCCCTCATGCCATTGTCCTGTTCTGAAATTACCCTAGGGAGTGTTCTTTGTCCCACTATGGAGCCCCCAGAGGGGCAAATAGCAACCCTGTGAGGCTCTCCATCGTTGTTGTTCTGTGCAGTCCCACATGGGAACGAAGCAGGTGCACAGGCCAGCTGCCAAAAGATTTTCTAGCTAGGCTAGTAACAGAGCAGGAGGAGCCCCTCCCAACTGGAGCCGCTGGAGCCGTTTTCCTGCCCAGTGGTCATGTGCTCTGGGGAGGGGCTCCACACTCTCCCTCAGTTCTCTCTTTGCCACTGCTGCAGAAGAACACTTCTTAGTTAGCTCCTCAGTGTGTGTGTTCTCTCTCTCTCTCTCTCTCTCTCACACACACACACACAGACACAGAAAAAAGATGTTGTTCAAGAAATGCTCGCTTTGTTCAATGAAGATGATTAGAACGGATGAGCAGTCTGCTTGTTTGTTGTGTTTGGGTGAGAGCCATAATGTATCGGCAGGTAAAATCTGCCAGCAGTTTACTCCCAAAGCCAAGGCCGACCAAGCCTCCCAACTTAAAGCTGCTTTATGGGAAAAGGATCTCTCTACGTCGGCCAACCTGGCAGCAAAAACATCTGCCCCGGTACAACAGCCTGTTTTCTCCGCTCCCAAACCGGTCTCTTGACTGTGTTTCTCATCCTCCGCTGGTGATCTTGGCCCACTGGGTTCCAAGTTTGGACTCAAACTGTAGATGTTCCATTCTGAGAATGCTCCGAACAGATCATCTTCGGAACTATCACCGAAGAAACAGAGGTTGAAGTTAAAACATAAATCTCATCAGTCAGGTTCTACAGAACTGGCCAAATGTTTGGAACCAAAGAAATCAGATTGGAACCGAAGAAATCAGATTCAAAGGATCCGGTTCTGAAGACTGTTGACAAGGTCAGCAGACACACTATCCTGTGCCTCCATCTCCCGTTTGCCTGTCACTGGCATGTTCCCCCATCAATATGTAAACTGGCACCAGCAGTCAAGATACCTGCAGATCTTGTCCCAAGACCTCCTGTCCCAGCTTCTCAGTGGGTTCCTTGGGGACCATGGCAACAATATCCTTGCTGTCACCCTCCTCAGTGCCATCCAGTAGGGTCAGAGCCATCAGAACCACGCATAGAACTGGTGGGTCAAATGATGGAACGACCGCAGACACCTGTGTACTGGACTGCCCATTCAGGACCGATCACTTATGGTTTTGAAGCTGAGGAAGAACACAGGTCCATAGCTAACTCCGGGGTGGCTTTGGAACCATCCCCTGACAACGTCGGGGACTGTGATCCGGTGTCACCGAGTGAGGACTTGTATCTTTACTTGGAACAGCTGGTGCGGATGGCACAATTGTTGGATATCCAGATCATGTCTTTGGATGCTAAACCCTGAGACAAGATTCTAGGTTGATTCTACCGATCCTTCAGGGACTGTAGCCTTTTCAGTCCTGGAAGGAATTCCTGAAATGGCAAAAGCTTTTTGGGGAAAACTATCCTCCATCCCTGCCATGTCACAAAAGGTAGAAACTATGTATAGGGTTCAGAAGGAAGCCTGTCCCTTCCTTTTCACCCATCCTGCTCCATCCTCTTTAATAACTGAGGAGATGCAGGCCAAGCAGACAGTCGGTTCCCATTCCACTCCAGCTGATAAAGAGAGTAGAAAAATCGATGCCTTAGAAAACCTATGCATCACAATCGTTAAACCTTAGAATAGCTAATTACCAAGCTATTATGTCAGCTATTATGTCAACTTTTCCTGTAGGAGAAAACTGCTCCTTATCTAGACCAGCTTCCTGATGATAAGAGGTCTTTAGCCAAAGTCATCCAAACAGAAGTGCTTAGACTCTCAAAGCAACAGTTGAATGTGGGCAAGCAGGCAGTCGATGCTTTGGTGTTCACAGTGGCTTCAGTTATAATCCTGAGAAGACATGCTTGGCTAAGTTCAACAGCTCTCCCTCTTGAAACATGCACTTGGGTGGAGGACTTTACCTTTTGACGGCCGTTCGCTTTTCTCATCTGATGAATTCCTGCAACAAATCAAGAAAAAATTGACAAACTGCTCGCTCCTTTGGAATAATTAAATCCCAGGCCCCTCTGTACAGGCCTAAAGATCATTTGAGGTTCCAGCTGTCCTACCAGAGCTTCCAGTGTCCTTACCATCAACAGACTTACCAGTATCCTCAACAAAGGTCCTCCTCCCAGCCTTCCCAACAGAATCAGCGTAGGTCTCACTTGAGGTCCAAGTCTCGTCATGATCAACACCAGATTTCAAAGGACCACATGCAAGCCTCCAAGCCTTCCTTCTGATTAATGCTGGGTGACAATGCACCTCACCCCTCTTTCCAGGATGGTTTGTCGAGGTTCTTACAAGAGTGGCACAACATTACCTCCGATTCCTGGGTTTTGTCCATTGTTAAAACGGGCTACTGTTTAGAGTTTGCCCACTTACCTCCAGTGATAACTGCTGCTCAAGCAGTTGACAGTGTTTTTCCAGAGTTGATTACCGAGTGGAAGGTTTTGTTGGCAAAGGGTGCACTTCAAAGTTTAAACCCCTCTGCTTCAATGTTTGGTGGTGGTTCCAGAATTTTCCTGGTTAATAAAAAAAAAGATGGTGGTTTACGCCCTATTTTGGATATGAGGAGTTTCTTCCTCAAAGTACGTACATTTGGAATGGTTTCCTTGGTTTCGGTTTCACAATTGCTCAGCTCAGGAGGTTGGTTCGCAGTCTTGGATGCATATTTTCGCATTCGCATTCATGTGGATTATAGGAAGTATTTACGGTTCTTAGTTCAAGAAACCCCTTATGAGTATAAGGTGCTTCCTTTTGGTTTGGCCACTGCTCCTCAAGTGTTTACCAAATGTATGACAATAGTAATTGCCCATTTAAGATCTACGGGTTGCTCTGTCTTCCCCTATTTAGGTGACTGGCTGCTTACTGCCCCTTTTGCTCCAGAACTCCAGAGACATTTGTCATGGGCTCTACAAACTTGCCAAAAGCTCAGCTTACAGATTAACTGGAAAAAGTCAAACCTAGTTCCCCGCCAACGAACATCCTTTATTGGGGCTAGGCTAGATTCTCTTTCCGATCGAGTATTTTTGCCTTATCAATTAAACGCATGGTCGAGCAATTCGTGTTTAATCGCTTTCAGAAAGCTGTTGCCATCCAAAGATTGTTGGGTCTAATGGCTTTGACCACCTTCACTGTTCCCTTTGCCCACCTGAGAATACGGCCATTACAGAATTGGTTCATAAGAGTCTTTAACCACATTCTGCCATTATTCTATCCCCTGGGGGATTCTGAAGGAATCGCGATGGTGGACCCTTGATTAACATACTGACAGGAGGCCTCAATCAGCGTCTGCCACTTTTTGATGAGGCATTCAGTTGACTGAAGTGTGCAAGGCAGCCACCTGGTTGTCTCTGGACACCTTCATTAAGCAGTACTCTGTAGATGTCGATACAAGAAGGGAGATGCCAGTGGGGACAGCAGTCTTGCATTCTATTTTCCAGTGAACTGCTCAACCCCACCACCCGGTAAGTCAGCTTGTTAGTCTCTTATGTGGGACTGCACAGGACAACGGCAGTGAAAATAGCATGGCACTTCTTTGTAACTGTTATTCATCGAGTTGTCACTGTGCAGGCACACATTCCTCCCCCACTGTGAGCTATTTCTCTATTGTCATTTTTTTAAAAAAAACCTCTGCTCATAGTGGCAGCTCAGGAGATCTGAGGGAGAGTGTGGAGCCCCTCCTTGTAGCACATGACTGTTGGGCGAGGAAACGGCTCCGGTGTCTCCAGTTGGGAGGGGGTCCTCCTGCTCTGTTACTAGGCTAGCTAAAGAATCTTCCGGCAGCCGGCCTGCACACCTGGACAGTTCCCATGTGGGACTGCACCGAGACAGCCCGATGAACAATAGTTACAGTTAAGTTCAGTGATGTTTTTCAGGTTGGGAAAACAGTGCAGGGGGCAAGGCTGAAGACTCCCCACTTGCAGCAATTCCAATCTGATCTGGGTCCGTGTGTGCCTGCGATTAAGTTCCCAGGACAGACCTCACAATATAGATTTGATTGTGTGGGCCCAGGGAAGATCTGAGGGGGAAAATACCACAATGAGTAGTTAGGCCTTCAGTTAGCCTTTTAGCTCATTCCTGTGTTGCCATTTTAGCTGCAGTGGCCTTTTTTGTGACTATTAAAATAGCTTCATTTCTTTATGGATTTTATACCCCACTTTTCTTCCCACTGGGGGATCCAAAGGGGTTTACAACATCGTTCTCCCCATCTTTGGTTTATTTTCACAACAGCCTGTGAGATAGGTTAGGCTGAGAGCGTGTGACTGGCCCAAGGTCACCCAGCAGGCTTCCATGGTAGAGTGTGGGATTGGAACCTGTTGTACTGTGCTGGCTCTCTGGTAAGTGGCACATGCCATTCCCCCTTGTTGTACATATTAGATTCCATGTCAAAAATGAAGTCAAATGAGGAGGAAGTTCTTGTATTTTATTGTAATGAAATACGGAAAACAGTTAGGCCAAAGGACCCATCAAAACTGACTGCTTTCTTCTCAGCATAATCAGGAAACATGCCTCAATTAATAGGAAAACAATTAGATCAAATAGTTAACCAAAAATTGACAACTTTCTTCTTTTTCTTCTTCATCTTCTTCTTGAGCATATTCTGAACATATTCAGGAAATACATGATATTTTATATATGGACTGACATCATCAAGAAAACAATATTCAAACAGCATAATTGGTTACAAAAGACAGTGGTAATTTGAGTAATAATCCTCTGATTGGCCAGATATAAAGAAACATATCTACGTCAAACTTTTTACTTAACCTAACCTAAATGATAATGGGCAAGGATTCTTCATATCAGACTAAAATCTTATCTGACCTAGACATTGAAAGGTTTGCCCTAAGAACTACAGAATCATGAACTTTGTACCTATTATGTTGTCTGCTAATAATATCAGACCTACAAGAGGAAAGCCTTCTATATAACAGGCCTTTCTAACATCCTAATAAAATATTACTTAAGGAATAAATCTATAAAAACCAGAGAAATATGAATATGAACAATCAAGAAGGAAAAAACCTATATATGGAAATCTTTATATTTCCATTCATACTACACCCTGTACTTGACACCAGGGGACTAAGGCCATTTCAAAATGGGAGGACCAAGATTCCATTGGTGGCCCCAGCAGTCACATGGCTCCAAGCATGGCTATTGCTGCCCCAGTGAAGAGGGCAGGTCAGAGTGCTGGAGAACTGGTATCTTGTGCTTCATGATGCAGAATTTGTCTATCTTTTAGACTTATTTCAGGACAAAGTTCTTTGTTTTGTCGGGCTTATGGGTGTGGTGAGGTTGTTTTGTTTACATGCAACTATAATGTATGCAAGTATTGCTGCAGGTCTGAAGTAGTTCTTTTTTCCACCCATCTGTAAAGACTGCAAGTTCACTTCTCCAGTCTTTGAAAGGAGACAGATCTGCAAAAATTTTTTTACCTTCCAGTGGCTCCGAAGAAAAGTACATAAGAACATAAGAGACGCCAATGTTGGATCAGGCCAAAGGCCCATCCAGTCCAACACTCTGTGTCTCACAGTGGCCAGAAATACCAGTGCCATCAGGAGGTCCACCAGTGGGGCCAGGACATTAGAAGCCCTCCCACTGTTGACCCCCCCCAAGCACCAAGAAGACAGAGCATCACTTGCCCCAGAGCCCCTATCTATACCTTGTGGCTAATAGCCACTAATGGCCCTCTGCTCCATATGCTTATCTAATTCCCTCTTGAAGCCGTCCATGCTTGTAGCCGCCACCACTTCCTGTGGCAGTGAATTCCATGTGTTAATCACTCCTTGGGTGAAGAAGTACTTCCTTTTATCCGTTCTAACCCGACCGCTCAGCAGTTTCATGGAGTGCCCACGAGTTCTTGAATTGTGAGAAAGGAAGAAAAGTACCTCTTTCTCTACCTGCTCTTTCCCATGCATAATCTTATAAACCTCGATCATGTCACCCCTCAGTCGTCGTTTCTCCAAGCTAAAGAGCCCTAAGCGCTTTAACCTTTCTTCATAGGGAAAGTGTTCCAACCCTTTTATCATTCGAGTTGCCCTTTTCTGCACTGTAAAATCACCGAACATCTCTTGTCTATTAATTTGCAGACTTCTCCCATAAGAATGATGGAGAGATCAATTCACAGCGCAAAGTACATCTTTGTGGAAAACCTGTATCGGAGGTGCGGTACCCAGCGTCTTGTCTGTTTCAGCTGTGTTCATTTTCATGTGGAAAACCTTGCGCTCTCACTTTTGGTTTATTCTGCATTTCTCATTGGAAAATACTACTGTACTAGTTTATCCAACTTAATCCAATGTATTGTGTCATATTATAAGCATTGGCAGGAAACCGCAGCTAATTAAAAAAATTTATGCAAATTAAGCGCATTGTTTTTGTGAGCTGCGTCAAGCAGCTGTCTGAAAAGGAGAGGTGCCATATAAATATTCTAAACAAATAAAGCACAGTATTCAAATGTCATGAAACCCAGCTCCACTGGGTGATTGTGGGGGGGGGGGGGGCCGGCGTCATCTCATCTGGGGTTAATGCACTTGGAATGAGGTTACTTGTAGAAAGAACCACATTGGTCTGTTGTAGCCTGATATTTGCCACATTCACGTGCATGACATTCAAACTGTGTCTGTTGCATGTAACCGAGCCATTGCTAGTTGCATGACATAAATGCCCAGACAGCTCTCTCTGATGATCAGTTCTTCCTTCCTATCCTTAGCGCTGGAGCATTTATGATCTTCTTTTGAAAATGGGGGGAAAAACAGTTTGTTTTTTTAAGCCACAAGGTGGCAGCTGTGTAACACAGTCATTTTGGGCAATACTACATTTAGGTTATTGAAAAGTGCAGATCTGGGCATGCAAGAATTGATCTGAAAAGTTTCCCTGTTCAGTGCAGTCTGTATGGAAAACAAGATATATCTAATAGCTTTGGAATCACTTTCTCATTTGGACTTTAAGCCGTCAGTTTTTGCCTTCCGCCCCTTATGTATCAGATAGTACGTGCATGTACTGAAAACCTTAAAGGCTGTGTATTTTTTTCCTATTGATTGACTCGAGAGTTAGGAGCTTGCCTCCTTCACCTTTGGATGTTTAATTGTAGAACTGATGCAATCGATATGTGAGATTTGTTGAATTCAATACAGCAAGCTGCAGGGTCATTGATATTATACGTTCCATATCAACCAGCTGCAGCTTAAGCTTTTTTAAAGAGCTTCTGTAACAGCCCGTATCAATTTGAAGATGAGGGAAGAGTCCAGAATGCAAAGTAGAGGTTTTCTGTTTGTAAATTGTTCTAATGCATCCAGTTGCAAGTACTTGTGTGTTTATACATAGTACTAACACATATAAACCATCGTGTAACTTTTAAATGGAGCTACTTAAAAGCTCCTTCAGGTCAACAGATCTTCCAGACAAAAGCTACAGCCAGCCACACTGACGTGCAAAATCCAAAACAAAATCCATATAATGCCTTTTGATTTGGGGCAGCCAGACCCACACAGAACATATGAGGTGTCAGCCAGCTCTCATAGAATTAGTTTTGGCTTTGTTGGGGTACTGGGTTTGGTTAGAAGTCATAGGGTGGATTCTGGAGGGATGCCGGGTAAACACATAGGTACAATTTCAGCAAGGTGAAGGGCTGCTTAAAAGCATTTTACACTGAACTTACCGCAGCTATGCAAATTCTCTGATTTCCCCCCGCCCCCATTTGTTGCAGTGGGAAAATGCCAGAAGTGGATTATGCGGTATTGACAGAATGGTTTGAGTGGATCATCAAGAATTTGGATGTTTCAGTGGATTTAATAGGTAAAATGCATACTTTGTGGTAGTCTGTTTTTTAAAAACGGGAACCTTTCCTGGCAGCTAGATTGTTAGCAGTTGGTTGTGCTGGTGAGCCACGGCCACATTTTACTTTGTATTCAAGGGGTCAGTTGCGTAGCAGCCTGAATAAGAACATAAGAGAAGCCAATGTGGGATGAGGCCAATGGCCCATCCAGTCCAACACTCTGTCACACAGTGGCCAGAAACACCAGGTGCCATCAGGAGGTCCACCAGTGGGGCCAGGACACTAGAAGCCCTCCCACTACCCCCCAAGCACCAAGAGTTCAGAGCACCACTTGCCCCAGCCTGAGAGTTCCTATCTATACCTTGTGGCTAATAGCCACTGATGGACCTCTGCTCCATATGCTTATCCAATTCCCTCTTGAAACCGTCCTTGCTTGTAGCCGCCACCACCTCCTGCGGCAGAGAATTCCATGGGTTAATCACTCTTTGGGTGAAGGAGTACTTCCTTTTATCCGTTCTAACCTGACTGCTCAGCAATTTCACTGAGTGCCCACGAGTTCTTGTATTGTGAGAAAGGGAGAAAAGTACTTCTTTCTCTACCTCCTCTATCCCACGCATAATCTTATAAACCTCGATCATGTCTCCCCTCAGCCATCGTTTCTCCAAGCTAAAGAGCCCCAAGCACTTTAACCTTTCTTCATAGGGAAAGTGTTCCAACCCTTTTATCATTCTAGTTGCCCTTTTCTGCCCTTTTTCCAATGCTATGATAACCTAGTTTAGTTTGAATTTGTCAGAGCCTGGAAGCTAAGCAGGGTTGGCCATGGTCAGTACTTGGATTGGAAGACCACCAAGAAACACTGAGGTTGCTGCATGAAGGAAAGCAAGAGTGAACCACCTCTTGCCTGGAACACTTTAGTTTAGTTTAGGAAAGAGATGACTAAGGGGGGTGGGACATGATAGAGGTTTATAAAACTATGCATGGGGTTGAGAGAGTTGACAAAGATAGATTTTTCTCCCTCTCTCCCAAAAGACTAGCATTTGAGGGCATCCAATGAAGCTGATGGGCAGTAGTTTCAGGACTGAGAAAGGGAAATGCTTCTTTACACAGAGGGTGATTAAAATGTAGAATTTGCTGCCAGATGGCCACGGGAATAAACAGCTTCAAAAGGGGGATTCGATAGATTCACGGAGGGATAGGTCAGTGTGGCTGATAGCCATGGTGGCTGAGGGGAACCTCTATGTTCAGAGATACTAAACCTCTAAATCCCAGAGCCAGGAGGCAACATCAGGGGAAGGCCTCGGCCTCGATGCTGGACTAGATGGACCACTGGTCTGATCCAGCAGGGCTCTTCTTATCTTCTTAACACCCCATGGACGGGGGTCCCCATGAGTCTCTTGTGATTCGACAGCACCTCCTTCTTCTGCATATTGTGTGCAGATGTGGGCCATGCTTTTTAATTCAGCAAAGCAGCTTGGGAAGACTGCTTTAACCCTTTCCCTGTGTACCGCTTCTGCACTCCAAATTACACTTCTCAGTTGCTTTCCACCCCCCTGTGTAAACCCTTCTGTGGGGAGAATGATCTGAAGTGGAGAAACGGGACAGGCAGAGAAAGTGTAAGTCACCTCTGTTCCCCCACCACCACCCTGTTGCTTCTCCACGTGACCTCCACTTTTCAGCCAAAGCTGCTTTTTATTTCCTATAAATGTGCCAAGGTCCCGTAAGACGTGCTTGCACGAAACATGTCGTCATCTCCTAAAAGGGACATTCTCTTTGATAAATGAGATCCGGGATGGGATGGGTGTTTCCAAACAGCCATAAATATACTTTCTTTCTGAGCCTTCCCAAGACCGTGTGAAATAAAAATCATGCTAGATGCGTCTTCTTTTTTATGGCAGTTTATCTGCAGACCTCTCCCGAGACGTGTTACGAAAGGCTGAAAAGAAGGTGCAGAGAAGAGGAAAAGATCATTCCAGTGGTAAGTTGGAAGTCTTTGGATGTAGTTTGGGATTAATTCTTGTGTTTGGCTTTGAAAGCTGGTGACACAAAAAGTTAGCCAGGATAGAATGACAGAGCACAGAGAGCTATGTGAAGCATTATCAAAGGTGTGCATTCCTTGGGCAAAAGAGAAACTAAATGAGCCACAGTCTTTTTCAACATCAACATTGTGCCTTTCAGCCTGAAGATGTGGGAAGTCCCCAGAAATGGGTGGAGAGGGTAACAAACTGGCCGTCCTTTGGGAAGGAAGGGGGATTCTTGTTCCGAGGCATATTTACCCTTTTTACCTGCAGAGATCAAGATATGCTGTTTATTGTCTGTTTATTGATGGGGCAATAAACAGACAATCAGGATAGTTACTGCATGAATACTTTTAAGATACACAGTTGCCCTTGAGAGTGGCTCATGCGTTTGGCGCATGCTGATCACTGGCCGGCACCAGCAGCACTTCATTCCGTAATGCTACCCTGTTTCAACAAAGGGAGCATTTGCACAACTTTTAAGTTTCTTGTTTGCCTGCGTTTTGAATAACAACCCCTCTCCAGGAAGAGGTAACCAAATCAAATGTGAATGTTCGCGTACATTTCATCTATGGTATAACGCTCATGAGTTAAATTACAGTCTAAATCAAACAGTTGTGTGTCCACTACAAAGACAACCTTTAAAAAGCTTCTTTTTTCTCCTTCCACCCCTTTCTGGGATACAGCAATATTTGGAAGCTATTCATCAACTCTATGAGGAGTGGCTCATCAAGCAAACACGGTTTAAGGTTCCTTGTCCTGTGCTCGTAAGTATATATCATTGACATGTTTAGTCCCGTTTGGCAGTGGTGGGGGAACAAGTGTTTTAAGTTGCCTTTAGTAGGACGTATCCAGTGATGTTTGTGGAAAGCAGATCTCCTTTCCACTTCGGTGGGTTTGATTCCATCTTCCCCAAACCTGTCCACCTGGTGACTTTGCAGAGGGCTGGAGGAAGTCTTGATGATGTCACAACCACAGTGCAGCTTGGGTTTAAGTCGTCCAAAATTTGGGAGGCTTCTGTTGCAGTACAAGGCACACTAGGGTCATGGCCAGCTGACTAGACTCGGAGGCTGTTCATGATATGTCATCTGTGGCATTGATGCGTGCACCTAAAGCGCACCTAAAGGTGAAACGAGCAAGTATTGGAGCAAATAAAACCAGACATGTCATTGGAAGGGAAAAATCATAAAACTGCAACTGACTTATTTCGGCCATGTCATGTGGGAGAACTTGCTAGAAAAAGCAATGATGCTTGGATTGGTTAGCAGCAAAAGGAAACTGGGCTGCCAAAGAACAAGGTGGCTAAACACCATAAAAGTAAACTCTTTCAGCCTTTCCTCATAGGACTTGAATTCCAACCCTCTCACCATCCTGGTTGCCCTCTTCCAGACACGCTCAAGCTTGTCAACATCCTTCATAGAATGTGGTGCCCAAAACTGGACACAGTACTCCAGGTGAGGCCTGACCATAGCAGAATAGAGCGGAACTATCACCTCCCGTGATCTGGACACAATGCTTCTGTTAATGCATCCTAAGATTGCATTAGCTTTCTTCACAGCCACATCGCACTGCAGGCTCATGTTTAGCTTGTGATCAACCAGAACACCTAGATCCCTTTCACATGTGCTGCTGTCAAGCCAAGTCCCTCCCATTCTATATCTATGCCTTTGATTTTTTGTACCTAAGTGTAGGACTTTGCAACACTGGCGCTTGTGTGTTTTTAAACATAACTACTTCAGCCTTTGAGGTAAACTTACGGAAGCTTTGTTCTAATGTTTGGTCTCTTGCTTCGAAGGTGCTTCAGGCTGACCAAGACATGCGGGCCATGATCGAGAAATACGAAGAAAACCGGGACCGAATCTTAACCTCCTGCAACATGCAGCAGTGCTTGTAGAAATGCATACATGTTATTGTGCTGTCTGTTTGCAGAACCCAGTCCTAAGGTCGTAGCTGTTACTTAGAGCTCTGTGGTAAACTCCGCATATATGACGGGGTCTTCCGTCACCTCCTCCTAACAGTCTCACCATGTGCCTCTTCTCTGGTGGGTTTCGCAATTCGAAGGAGCTTCAGTGAGGTGCTGTTGGGGGAGAACTGAAATGCCCCAGTGCTTGGACACCAGATCTCAAAGATGTCTCTAGAATGCAGCCTAGAATCAGAAAAGGAACTGGACCCGTCCTCCTGGATCCCAGAATTTCCTTTCCCTGCCGGAAAACTCCCCACCTTGAGTCTCTGTGTTGCCTTGGCAACTCTCCCAAGCAATTTGAGGTTTTAAGTGTGAAGGATTTCCAAAGGGAAAACGAAGCCTGCTTGCTAGGCAGATGTTTCTGACCCCCGCCCTTCTGAGGTCTATTTCAGACGGTTCTTCCACAGTCCCCAAACTGGTTTATGGACTTGGGGCGGTTGAAAGAACAGCTCTGAGGGTCACTCAGTCGGGTGACTTCTTTGGAGGGAAACTGAGGGAACACGTCGAAGGTCTGTTGCACTCTTTTCTGAATAATGATTATGAAGGCTGCAATATTTAACTGGTATTTTTCTGTGTAGAGACTTGAATGAGAGACTAGAAACTTTAAAAAAAAATCCCCCTTCATTTTTTGTTACATTCTGATGACATATTATCCTATTGTGCTGCTGTTACTTTGCTATTTCATGGACAGTTTTCTGAGAGGTTCTTTCTAAAATACACGTATGTTCAAAATCTTATTTGTATTTAATCTGGAAGAAGACAAAGTATAGGGTTGGTTTTTTTAAAGGGTTGAAAACTAGCTGGTGTATGAACAGACAAGTGGTATTGTGTTTTTATTCAAAATTGTCTGCTGTTCTCTTACCACTCATGCATTTAGAAAATTACACAAAACCTGAAGGAAAATAAATGTACCCAATCAGCAGTTTCCCTATTTAGCTGAACAGAATTCTGTTCCCTACCCTGGAGTTCATAATTGGGATTGTCTTAACTTTGCATACAGATTACAGGTATTAATTTATTTAAAGCCTTTATATGCCACCTTTCTACACAAACAGAGTCCCTTCCTTTCAGGTAAACAAGGTGCTTTAAAAAAACAAACAACGGGGTTCACACTCAAATGTTGCAGAATACTTGCTCAGAATGTGTCTGTACTTCAGTCTTGCTACAGGGTCGGCATCCCTGTGGCAACTGTCCTACCCTGCTGTTTAACACTGAGTACAACTCTTGGTGTGAAATGGGACCATCAGACAGTGAGTGTCTGTACTCATGATTATGTCAGACTCAATTGTGTTTCTTTATACACACACACACACACACACACACACACACACATATATATATATAATTTTTGAAAAGCAAAATATAATATAGAGGGGATGCAAAAAGAAAAGAGGGACTATACAACATCAGGATCATCATACACTACAGGATATATAGAACAGAAAAAGTAAGTGTTTCTCACCAACATCCCCTTCACCACGGTTCTAAGACATTTTCTAGAGGATATAATGGTCCTTACTTGAAACAATTTGAATTTCGAATCTGCAACTATATTATTTCCTCATTACTACTTATTCTATGTTATACATCTCATCATTTCTACACACTGGGCACAACTTCCAATATACCAAAGCTTAAAGGAGAGTCTATTATATCTCACATATAAGATTAAAAATAAAGATATTTTTGATCAAAACCCACTTCCTCATTCGCACTTATATTCATAACTTACTCTGTTTCTGCATTATAATATATTTATATGTGTGGCAATACATTTATATAGTTTTAAAACTATTCCTCACTCTAGATTTGTCTCCTGCGTGCATAATAAACACGCCATCTCTTCTCAGATTTTGAAATTGATCTGTTTCTCAAATAGGTTGTTAATTTTGCTATTACTGCATAGTCGGCAAGTTTATTTTCCCATTCTTCGAAGCTTGGGCAGATGTCTGATTTCCATTTTGCTGCATACATGATTCTAGCTGCTGTCACCATATATTTGAATACCTCTTCCAATACTTCTGGTAATTTATTGGGCAATATACTTCATAGCATGTTCTTAGCTTCCATAGGGAATTTAAATTTTAATATGTTCTGCATTTTTCCTTGTGTTTCCTTTCAGTATCTTTTTGCTTTTTTACAAGCCCACCACATATGGTAAAAGGTTCCATCTATATCTTGGCATTTCCAACCTTTTCCTTTGTAATTTTTGTCTACCTTCTCAATGTCCTTGGGAGTTACATACAGGCCCATAACTACAGTGGGGCTTCTTGGGGCCAGCCCTCTGACTCACTGCCGGAGCCCCACGACTTCCCATGCAGCCTAGGCCCCCTGACTTCCCATTTCTTATTTTTCGGCACGCCTCCCTCTTCTCCTTTCCTGCCGCCACCCACCCTTTTCCTCCCGCCTCTGCAGCACTGCATGCAGCATATATCCATGGCCTGCTCCAATAACGACAGGCCGCCAAGCGCCCCTCGGCTGGCATTGTCTTTGTAACCCACCCCCACCTTCCAACGAGTATCTTTCCAGGGTGCAGACTGCAGAGCCTGGGCGCTGGTATGAAAATGGGGCTTGGCGAGTGGACAGGGCAAGGCGGACTTGCTTCCCTGGGCAGCCCACTCCATCCCCCCCCCCCAGGTTTGCTCCCGAGGAAGCAGAGGATGCCCACGACACCACCACCCCTTGATTCAAGCCTCAGCCGTTCCCTTTCCAGCCAGCTAACCCTCGGCCTCGCAGCCATCTGCCCTTCTTCACCTGGGGACCTATGGAGCCCTGACCTGCTGCTTCTCTCGGGCCAAGCTGTGCCAAAGTCCCCTGGCAATGCCGGGTGCGTCCACTTCAGGCCACCGAAAGAGGACCCAATTCACCGCTTCTCAGCTGGCACAGCAGGGAAAAAAAGGCTGAAATTAGGGGCCAGCCCCCTTTCCTGGCAGCAGACGGGCCACAGGAGTGGGAGGCCTCCATGGACGGAGTGGCTGAGAAAAATCTCCACTTCGCATTTGCCTCAGTGTGCATGAGATGAAGGGGAGGGTGGGAGTGGGGCTGTTTGCTTGCGGTGTGTGTGTGTGTGTGTGTGGGGACTTATTTAAAGGCCCTCTGAATTAAAAAATCCTGGCTATGGGCCTGGTTATATACCATCTGAAGAACATTTTATACCAGTGTTCTCTCAATGCGTATGTTCTTTTCCCCATAACTGTTCCCATTGATGCATTAGTATTTGCTTTCTAGAATTCTGTGTTCATTTAATCATACAAATTTTGCACTTGTTTTTCTGTTTCTAACAAGTAATAACTTGTATATCCATTGTAATAGATGATCTTTTTGTTCTGTAATCAGCTGTTCGAACTCTTAACCACCTTCCATGCTGATAATCTTTTTTACTCTTGAAGCTGCTTGGTGATACAGCAGCCAATGACTTAATTCCTTCATCTCTAGTGTCTTGCCAGGATTTCAGTTTCCCCTGAGCATTTACCGTCTTGCCATACATTAGAAAATCACTTTT